CTCAAAACCAACCGCCTGTGATATTCTGTTTGTAGAGATCCAGATCTATCTTCTTACATCTTAGACTGATTTCATGGGTGCTCAGAGTGGTCTGGTAGATATCCAGCTCAATTCCAGGGACCAGTTGGAATAGGGTCCCCTACTCCTCCGCCATCTTTTCCTCTCCCCCGCTAACTTTTAAAATAGAGTTGTAAGTGAATTACATACCACCATTACCACATTACAGATTCTTATTTTGACTATATATTTACCATTACCAGTAAGTTTTACACTACCTTATGTTTTATGATGTTCATTAATGTCCTTTTACTCAAAGACCTCCCTTTAGCATTTCTTATAAGGCAAGTCTGGTGGTGGTGAACTCAGCTTTGTTTTTTGGGGGAAACTTTATTTCTTCATTTCTAAAAGATAGCTTTGCCAGGTACAGAATTCTTGGTTGACATTTTTTTCTTTAAATATTTTGGACATACCATCCCATTCTCTCTGGGCCCAAGCCAATCTTGTTGAGAACTCCACTGATAGTCTCATGATGGTTCCCTTGTATGTAATTTACCTTTTTTCTCTTGCTGTTTTCCAAATTTTTTCTTTGACTTTTGACAATTTAATTAGAGTCTGTATCAGTGTAGCCCTATTGGGGTTCATCTTATTTGGGATCTTTTGTACCTCATGGATTGGGATGTTTTAAGCCATTACTGCTTTAAATTTACTTTCTGTACCCATTCCCTCCTCATTCTCTTTTCCTTTTGAAATTCCCTTAATGCAAATATTGTTTGTCTTGATTGTGTCCTTATGTCCTGTATGTTTTGTTCACTTTATCCTTTTTTTTTTTTTTTTTTGCTCCTCTAACTGGATTATTTCAAATGTCCTCTCTTCTAGGTCACTGTTTTTTCTGCATAGCTGAGTCTTTTAAGACATTATTATTTTTTTTAAAGATTTTATTTATTTATTTGACAGAAAGAGAGAGAGCAAGAGAGGGAGCACAAGCAGGGGGAGTGGGAGAGGGAGAAGCAGGCTCCCCACCGAGCAGGGAGCCCAATGTGGGGCTCGATCCCAGGACCCTGGGATCATGACCTGAGCCGAAGGCAGATGCTTAACGACTGAGCCACCCAGGTGCCCCTAAGATAATATTTTTAAGTAATCTCTACACCCAACATGGGGCTCAGACTCACAACCCTAAGATCAAGAGTTGCATCCTCTACCGACGAGCCAGCCAGAAGCCCTGAGTCTCCTTTTGAAGCTCTTTTGAATTTTTTAGTTCAGTCATTGTACTTTTCAGCTCTACAGTTTTTTTGATGGTTTCTATTTCTGTGTTGAACTTCTTGTTTTGTTTATACATCATTTTCCTAATTTTTAGTTTTCTATGTGTTATTGCAGTTGACTAAACTTTAAAAGGAATTATTCTGAAATCTGTTCATAGATAGCCATTTTTTTAAGGTCAGTTAATAGAGCTTTAGTATCTTCTTTTTTTGGTGTCATGTTAATAGATTTTTTTCATGATCCTTGATTCTTTACATTGGTCTCTGTGCATTTGAGTAGGCAATCTCCTCTTCCAGACTTTATGGGTTTGCTTTGGCAGAGATTGCTCTTTGCCAGTCCCCTCAGTGTGGGTTTCTGGATGTGTCTGTTGGTAATGTCCTTGGGCAGGTGGAGTTTTGCTATCAGGGTCAGTTTCTGGGTGACGCCCCTGGTTGAGCTCTGAGGTCGGGTTTAGGGGTGCCACTGTCTGAGAGTGGTTGGATAAGACTGCTGGTTTGGTTCAGATGAGACCGTACTAATTGCCTGGGTTCTCTGGTCAGGCTTACTGGACTGGCAGGACTCCATACTATACTTAGCAGCAGGTGGACCTATGAATTAGCTTCTCTGCCCTCTTGGGGCAGGAGAATGGGCCTACAGGGCTCATTGTTTCAGGACCTAAATCAGGCAAGGCTGTCTACTGAATTCCCTGGCTAGAATGGGTCACCTTGTTTTGTTCTGCAGATGAAGAGCATCATGGACAGTGATCTCTGTTCAAGTGCCACTATAAGTAGGTCTGTTGGTTGGGATACATAGTTTTCTGTGTGTTCTAGTTAGGTTCCTTGGTCAGGCAGGCCAAAAGTTGTATTCAGTGGGCAGGGCTATGAATTAGTTTATGTATCCAGGCACAGCAAGAGAAGTAGCTCCAAGGCCAGAAAGGCTTTAGGTTTATGGTCTTGACTCAAGCCAACCTATGCCACAAGTTTCCTGCCCAAATGGAGCCATTGGCTTTGCTCTGCAGACTTTCAGCTCTGCCTGTTGGACTCTGTGCTTGAATGTTGCTGGGCTTTGCAGCTTTCCCAGTCTTACAGCCAAGCTTTCTGTTTGGGCGGTCCTGAGGGCTTTACTCAGCAGTGGATGGAGCTATGACAGCTTCCTTGCCTGTGTGGGACAGGAGGGCCAGCTCCAAATAGGCTCCCAGTTTTTCCAGATCAGGCCTTCTGGTCAGGGGTGGGGGCTGGTCAGGAGCTGCACTCAGTGGGTAGGCTATGAATTAGTGCCAATGCCTGGGTGGAGTCAGTGAATCCTCACCACCTAGCCCTGGCTTTGCAGGCAGTCAGCTCTTCCTGCCATACTCTTGGCTCAAGTGCTGCTGGACTCTGTAGCTTCCCAGGTGTTCTTGCCAGCCTTTCTGCTGGGGCAGGGTTGGGAACCTCACTCGGCAGTAGGGGACAGAGGGCTATGACTCGGCAACCCTTCCTGCACAGAGGCAGACCAGGCTCCAGGGCCAGAAGAATCTTTTTGTTTGAGGGCCAGACTCAGGCAGACTTGTGCCCTGCTGAGTTCCCTGGGTCAGTTGTGCCACTGTCTTGGCTCTGCAGATAAGCAAAAGCACGAGCCAAGACTACCACCGCTTGGGTGCTGCAGGTAGGAACTCAGTCGGCCAACATCCGCACTGGTTGTTGGAAGCCCCTCCCCTTCAGATTCTCAGTGGCCAATGCCCACAGATTGCCTTGCAGTTCCTATAGAATGAGACCAGAGTGGGGGCTCCCAAGCAGTGACCTACAAGGCTGGGGGAAATGGATGTCCACCCTGGACTCTCTTTTCCCCCTATAAAAACTGGAGTCTCAGCAGAGACCTCTGTGTAATGCTGGGCGGGCCTGGGTTAGAGGCAATAAGGTCAGCACATAGCCTCACCCCCATGTTCTAGGATTCTCTTAGTAGCGTCTTGTCTATGAATAGTTGTTAGTTCTTCTGGTGAGGCAGAGCAAAGTCGGGAATGACTTATGTCACCATCTTGATGAGCTTCATCTCCCCAGATTTTTTTTTATTTGTAATGGCCAGTGCTGGTGAGGGCTCAGGAAAAAGACCACACTCCTGTTACTGCTGATGGCAGGGTAAAATAATGGTGCCTTTCTGAGGAGTAACCGGGCAATAGGTGTAAAAACTTTTGTTTCCTGAGGAGATAATCTGAGCCGTAAATAAATACTCATTGGGTACACGGATATTCATTGCAGGGTCATCACAGACAAAACTGCCAACCCCTGAAATAGGTGAGAGAAATCTTGTACAACTCTGAGGTGATACATTAGGCAGCTGATAAAAATCCAGTCCTTAACGAATATAATAGTGTGAGAATGTTCGTGAGCTACTGCATGGCAAAAATGATTTGGGAGCCGTATATCCTGCGTGATCCCATTTTGTAAAAGGAAACATACACATGCAGATGGTGAAAAGATGGCAGATCCCAGTGACTAATCTGTACAGTTGCACTGCAGGTGAATTTTAGTCTGTTCTTGTTTTCTTTTCTTTTTTTTTTTTTTAAGATTTATTTATTATTTATTTGTCAGAGAGAGTGCGTGCATAAGCAGGGGGAACGGCAGGCAGAGAGAGAAGCAGGTTCCCCATGGAGCAGGGAGCCCGATGCGGGGCTCGATCCCAGGACCCTGGGATCATGACCTGAGCCGAAGGCAGACGCTTAACCAACTGAGCCACCCAGGCGCCCCATTTTCCTGACTTTCTAACAGGTCTGTAATGAACACGCATTACTTCTATCACCACAAGACAGACGACTGAGGCAAGGAGAGGAGACAACGGGCCCTGCATCAAGGACACAGAACGGTAGGGCCTCAGGCACTTCATCAATCCCTCCCCCAACCTTTATAAGCTCTAGTCCGTTACTTCTTAGGATCTCAAGTTTCCTCTAGCCTATACAATTGAGATGACTTGCTGATCACTAAGAACATTTGCAGATTTAAAATTCCACAATTCTAAGAACCTACCAATTATTCACTTTCCATTAAAGGCATTGATAATTCTGCCAAAAGACATCCAACCCCCTCAAAATCTAGCAGAAAAAAAGTGCAGTAGTACAACATCATTACCTTAGAGGAAGCCCATTTATGAGACAAAATCAAATGCCAAAAGGATAGGGTGGCCTATTATTAATAGCAACATTAAAAGAATCCTTGAGCTTCTAGAAGTCATTTGAAAATAAGTATTTTTATTACTATAATATTTAAGTATATTTTTAGTGGCAGCCATTAGCTCTCTTGCTGTTAATGGATTGTCAGCATTTCCATTAGAAGCTCACTTTGTAAGTAATCTACAGCTTGTCTACTGTAGTTTGACTCAAGCTCATAACTGAGAATAATATGCCTAAGGTAATGCAATAATTTGAATCCTTAATGATAAACAATGGTGTCACACTTCATATAATGTGATATCTGTGCGAAACAACTCTAGGTCTCAGTTTGATAGCTCTGTGATCTGTTTCTGGTACATTATGAAGGATGATTCTTCTGCAAAGGAGTTAAATTGGATCAGGTCAGTAGACAGTTTGTAATGAGCTTCCTGGTAAGAAAAGCACTTTAGGAATACAAAAATAAGACCATGGCATGGCATTTTCATAAAGAAAAGGTATTTAAATTACACCTGTAATAAGATACTTTTTTATAAAGTGTTCTCCCAAGAAAATAATCCCATTTACTCCTGTCCCATTAAAACTAATTTTCTATTTCTCTTCCTACAAATTTCTCCTTTTTAAGAAGTTCTTCACATCTACTGAGACAGTAAATGTCCTGACAAATGCCTTCCAAGGTTTCAGGATTTCAGAGAGATTCCAGCTTTACTGCCACAAAAAGAAATGAAAAATATCCTAGTTACATCTGGTTTGGACTTCTGGTAAGCACTGTGGAATTCAAAGAGCATTTGTTTCAGCCAAATCAATAAACAACGCAAACTAACCCTACAAACAATGCCTGACATATGCCTAGGTGCTGTTAAAGGGCTTTAGAGTGTGACAATGTCCTCCACCCAACAACCCTACAAGCTAGCTGAGGGAAAGGAACTTGGCGAAGGCACTCAGCTAGGAGGTGAGTCCTGCTCCTGACCAACTCTCTGTAATTAGCCACTTTAATAGTAAGAAGCTTTTCTGTTGACTCATTTACTTGTGCATTTGTTGGAAGACAAATTTTGGAAACCAACTGTCAAAAAGCTTGAAGTAGGAAATTAATTAAGATCCACAAACTGAATTTTACGCTTTGTAAAATCAAAACAGTCTTAAACATCAGCATGCCATATTAGGATGATTATATATATATTATTTATATAATTATATATTATATATAAATATTCTCTTTACACACACACACACGGTGTAACAAGCACTGGAGAGACTGTGGAGAAATCAGAACGCTTGTGCATTGCACTGGAATGTAAAATGGTGCAGTCAGTGTGAAAAACAGTATGTAAGTTTCTAAAAACATTTAAAAATAGAATTACCATATTATTTAGAAATTCCACTTCTGGGTATATAACCAAAAGAAATGAAAGCAGGAAATTAAACAGATATTTGTATAGCAATGTTGATAGCAGCATTATTCATAATAGCCAAAAGATGGAAACAGTCCAAATGTCCATTAATGCATGAATCAATAAACAAAATGTGGTATATATAAATGATATCCCATTATATACATATATGTGTGTGTACATGTATATATGTATATGTGTATGTATACATGCAATCTGATGTAGATTATTTTTTCTCAACTTGCATGGAGTATTTCCAAGATGGATGTTGGAAAAAAAAACATTTTGTGTATCATAAAATATTATGGAGGGTTTTCTTGGCATGGAGAATCTGAAAGTTGACCACTCATTCCTTCAATAAACATTTACTGACAGCACACTATTTATGGTTCAGGCATAAATATAAGCCCTGAGGTTATAGCAGTAAATAAGGGGGCAGGGGGTATCTATGCTCATGTTTATTTTTTTATTGAGGTATAACAGACATTAGTTTCGGGGGTACAACAGGATGATTCACTATTTGTACATATTGTGAAATGATCACCAGTTAGTCTAGTTAGCATCCATCACCATATATACATTTTTTTTTTCTTGTGATGAGAACTTTTAAAGAGCTACTCCTTTAGCAATTTTCCAATACTTAATAGAGGATTATTAACTGCAGTCACCATGCTGTATACTACATGCCCATGATGTATTTTATAATTGTTAAGTTTGTACCTTTTTTTTTTTTTTTTTGGTGGGCAGCAAAGAAAGGTTTATTGAGTGATAGTACAAAGCTCCCGAAGAGGGAGGGGACCCGAGAGGGTTGTCCAAGTTTGTACCTTTTGACCCCCTTAACCCATTTTGCCTGCACCCACCCCCTGCCTCTGACAACCACCAATTTGTTCTCTGTATTGACGAGCACTGGGTTTTTTTGCTTGTTTGTTTTAGATTCCACAAATGAGATCACACAGTATTTGTCTTTCTCTAATTTGCATAATGCCCTCATGGTCCAACAATTTGTTGCAAATGGCAAGATTTCCTTCTTTTCTGAATAATATTCCATGGTGTCTATATACATTTTCATTATCCATTTATACATTGATGGATACTTAGGTTGCTTCCATGTTTTGGATATTGTAAATAATGCTGCAGTGAATATGGTGATATATAGATCTTTTCAAATTAGTGTTTTCATATCCTTCAGATAAATATCCAGAAGTGTATTTGCTGGACCATATGGTAGTTCTATTTTTAACTTTCTGAGGAGTCTCCATAGTGGCTGTACCAATTTACATTCCCACTAACAATGTACAAGTGTTCCCTTTTCTCCATATCCTGATCACCACTTGTTAATTTGTCGCTTTGATAATAGCCATTCTAACAGGTGTGAGGTGCTAGCTGCTTGTGGTCTTGATTTGCATTTCCCTAGTAATTAGTGATGTTGAACATATTTTCAGGTCCTGTTGGCCATCTGTATGTCGTCTTTGGAAATATGTCTTTTCAGATCCCGTGCCCATTTTTAAATCACATTGTTTCTTTTTGTACTGTTGAGTTGTATGACATCTTATTTTGATTAACCCCTTATCACATATGATTGGCAAATATTTGTTCCCATTCAGTAGCATACCTTTTCATTTTGTTAATGGTTTCCTATGTGCAGAAGCTTTTTAGTTTGATGTAGTTCCACTTATTTATTTTTGCATTTGGTGCCTTTGCTTTAGGTGTCACATTAAACCTAACCGGCAAGACAAATGTCAAGGAACTTGTAAGAGCTCCTTGGAGTTTTGTTTTCTCCTAGGAGTTTTATGGTTTCAAGCCTTACATTCAAGTAAGATAGTGGTCCAGTTTCAATCTTTCTGCATGTGGCTACCTAGTTTTCCCAGCACCATTTACTGAACAGACTGTCCTTTCCCCATTGTATATTCTCAGCTCCATTGTAGTAATTGAATTAACCATGTATGTGTGGGTTTATTTCTGGACTCTTTACTCTGTTCCATTGATCTATATTTGTATTAAATACCAATGCCATACTATTTTGGTTACTGTAGCTTTGTAATATAGTTGAAATCAGGGAGCATGATGCCTTCAGCCTTGTTATTCTTTCCCAAGATTGCTTTGGCCATTTGGGGTCTTTTGTGGTTCCATACAAGCTTTAGGATTGTTGGTTCTCTTTCTGTAAAAAAGAAATGCCATTGAATTTTGATAAGGATTGCATTGAATCTATCGATTGCTTTGGGAAATATGGATATTTTAACAGTATTCTTCTAATCCATGAGCAAGAGGTAGCTCTCCATTTATTTGTCTTCAGCTTTTTTTTAAGTATAGTTGACATAAAATATTTTATTTCAGGTGTACAGCACAATGATTCACCAGTATATGCATTATGAAATGCTCACCATGATAAGTGTAGGCACCATCTGTCACCATGCAAAGTTATTGCAATACTATTGACTATATTCTCTATACTGTACTTTTTATCCCTGTCACCTAATTTATAACTGGAAGTTTGTACCTCTTTATTCCCATCACATAATTCATCCACCCTGCTCCCAGCAACCACCAGTTTCTTCTCTGTATTTATGAGGGTTTTTTTTCATTTTGGTTTTTAGATTCCACATAAAAGTGAAATCATATAGTATTTGTCTTTTTTGTCTGACTTATTTCATTTAGCATAATACCCTCTAGGTCCATCCATGTTGATGCAAAGGGCAAGATTTCATTCTTTATGGCTGAATAATATTCCATTGTGTGTGTGTACATATTTGTGTGTATACATATCTTTATGCACAGCACACAGTTATCCATTTGTGTATCAATGAACACTTAGGTTGGATCCATTTCTTGACTATAAATGCAATAAACATAGGGGTGCATAACATTTCACATGAGTGTTTTTGTTTTCTTTGGTTAAATACTCAGACATGGAATTACTGGGTTGTATAGTAGTATTGCTGTTTTTAATTTTTTGAGGAACCTCCACACTGTTTTTCATAGTGGCTGTACCAATTTACATTCCCACCAACAATGTACGAGTGTTTCCTTTTCTCCACATCCTAGGCAACACTTGTTATTTCTTGTGGTTTTGATAACTGCCATTCTGACCGTGAGGTGATGATAGGTCACATTGGCTCTGATTTGCAGTTTCTTGAGGGTGAGTGAGGTTGCATATTTTTTCATGTGTCTGTTGGCCACATGTATTTTTCTTTGGAAAAATGTCTGTTCAGGTCATCTGCTCATTTTTTTTTATTGGATTGGTTTTTTTGGTGGTAAGTTGTATAAGTTGTATACATTTTTTTACATATCCTTTCCAAATATCTACTTCAATTCAGTAGGTTGCCCTTTTGTTTTGTTGATGGTCTCTTTTTCCATGCAAAAGCTTTTAATTTTGATGTTGTCCCATGATGTTATGGCTAATGTCAAAGAAATGACTATGTTCTCTTCAAGGACTTTTATGGTATCAAGTCTCACATTGAAGTCTTTAATCCATTTTGAGTTCATTTTTATGTATGGTATTAGAAGGTGGTCCAGTTTCATTCTTTTGCATCCATTAGCTGTCCAGTTTGCTCAGCATGTTTGATACTTGATTATATTTTCTCTTTGTTCAAGTTCTCACTGTGTTCATCCATTCTTCTCCCAAGTTCAGTGAGCATCTTTACGGCCATATTTTGAACTCTTTATTAAGTAAATCAGTTATCTCTGTCTCATTAAGGACTTTCTCTGAGGTTTTCTTTTTAATTTTGAGCATATTCCTCAAGTTTCCTTGATACTCTGTGTTGGTTTCTGTGCATTAGATATAACAGCCACCTCCACCCATGCGGAAGGAGTAACCTCATGGCGGAGATGAAAGTTACCATTCAACCTTCCCACAGCTCTTGGGTTATCTCTCAAACCTTTATGATTGTCCAAATAGTGTATTTTATTTTTAGTGGATCCCAGTAGTGGAGGGTGTACCAAGGCCTGTCAGTGTCCCCAAAGGGAGGATCTCAGTGAGCACCTAGATTCAGCTGATTGGAAGCCAGACCCTCAGGCACCAGCTTTTAAAATATGCAGATATAGGTGTATTTCAGCGATAATGTGGGTTCGGTTCCAGATCACCACAATAAAGTGAATAATGAAGCAAGCCAAAATAATTTTTTGGTTTCCTTGTGCATGCAAAAGTTACGTTTACATTATACTGTAGTTTATTAAATTTGAAATTGCATTATGTCTAAAAAAACAGTATAGAAGTCTTAATTTAAAAATACTTTGTTGTTAAAATAGGCACTCCATTTTCTGAGCTTTCAGCAAGTCATGATCTCCTTCTTGGTGGAGGGTCTTGCCTCAGTGTTGATGGCTGCCTACTGATCAGGGTGGTGGTAGAAGGCTAGGGTGGCTGTGGCGATTTCTTAAGACAGCAATGAAGTCCCATCTCAACTGTCCTTTCAGCAACCATTTCTCTGTAGCATGCGATGCTGTCTGACAGCATTTTATACACGGTAGAACTTCTTCCCAAATTGGAGTCAATCCTCTCAAACCCCGCTACTGTTGGCTCAACTAAGTTGATGTAATATTCTTGATGGTTTGTCGTCACTTCAGTCTTCACAGCATCTTCACCAGGAGTAGATTCCATCTCAAGAAACTGCTTTCTTTGCTCATCTGTAACAGATGAGGAGTTGCTTCTTAAAGTTTTGTCAGGAGATTGTAGCAGTTCATTCCCATCTCCAGGCTCTATTTCTAATTATTCTCTTGCTCTTTCCACCACATCTGCAGTCTATTCCTCCCCTGGCATCCAAAACCCCTCAAGATCATCTGTGATGGTTAGAATCCACTTTTTCCACACTCCTATGAATGTTGATATTTTTACTTCTTCCAATGAATCACAAATGTCCTTAATGGCAACTAAGATGTTAAATCCTTTCCAGAAGGTTTTCAGTTGACTTTGCCTGGCTCCATCAGGAGAATCACTAGCTCTGGCAGCTAGAGCCTTAGGAAATGGGTTTCTTAAATCATAAGGTTTGAAAGTCAAAGTGATTTCTTGATCCATGGGCTGAAGAAGGGATATTGTGTGAGCAGGCAGGAAAGCAACATTAATCTCATTTCACATCTCCACCAGAGCCCTTGGGTGACCAGGTACGTTGTCAATGTGCAGTAGTATTTTTAAAGCGATCTTTTTTTTCTGTGGGCTTACAGTATTCAGTAAACCATGTAGTAAACAGATGTGCTGTCATCCATGCTTTGTTCCGTTTATAGAGCACAAGCAGAGTTGATATAGCATAATTCTTAAGGGCTCAAGGATTTTTGAAATGGAAAATGAGCCGTGGCTTTAACTTAAAGTCCTCAGCTAGGTTAGCCCCTAAGCAGAGAGTCAGCCTCTATTTTAAAGCTTTGAAGCCAGAATTTCAGCTCCCCTCTCTAGCTGTGAAAGTCCTACGTAGCCTCTTCTAATAGATGGCTGTTTTGTCTACGTTGCGTATCTGTTTAGCGTAGCCGCCTTCATGCATTTCCAGAGCTAGAGCTTCAGAATAACTGGCTGCAGCTTCTGCATCAGCACTTGCTGCTTCACCTTATACTATTATTATGTTTTCTTGCCTTAAACCTCATGAACCAACCTGTGATGGCTTCAGATTTTCTCTCCTGCAGCCTCCTCACCTCTCTCAGCCTTCACAGAACGGAAGAGAGGTAGGGCCTTGCTCCGGATTAGGCTTTGGCCTAAGGGGATGTGGCGGCTGGCTGTCCGGTCTTCTATCCAGACCACTAAAGCTTTCTGCGTATCAGCAGGAAGGCTGTTCTGCTTCCTTATTGTTTCGGTGTTCACTTGAGTAACACTTTAAATTTCCTTCAAGAACTTTTCCTTTGGGTACGAGTGGCCGAGCTTTCAACATACCTTCCTCACTAAATTTAAGCATTTCTAGCCTTAGATTTAAAGTGAGAGACCTGTGACTCTTCCTTTCACTTAAAAACTGAGAGGCCACTGTAAGGTTATCAGCTGGTCTCATTTCAGTATTGTTGTGTCTCAGAGAATAAGTAGCCCAAGGAAGGGGAGAGAGATGAGGAAAAAACTGGTCACTGGAGCAGCCAGAACACAGACATTTATCAATTAAGGTCGCTGTATTATCTGCACACGATTCATGGTGTCCCAACACAACTACAATAGTAACATCAAAGACCACTGGTCACTTTAACAAATATAAAAAATATTGCATGAATTACCAACATGTGACACAGACATGAAATAAGCAAATGCTGTTGGAAAAATGGTGCCAATAGATGAGCTCAGTGCATGGTTGCCTCAATCCTTCAATTTGTAGAAAACACACTATCTGCAAATAATATAAAGTAGAGCGCAACAGAATGAGGCACGCCTCTGTATACACTGCAAGCTAAGTCCTGCTGAGCACCAGAGTCCAGTCATCTAGAGGTGCTTGTCCATGGCGGTTGTTAAAAATCAGGACACCTCACCTGTGTACAAGTTCCTTTCTAGTAGATATTGGTGACCTGGAGCAAGACAGAGGGTGAATGCAAAGATGATGACCAATGGCGCCAGTCCTTATTAGGTCCCTAGATCTGTGCCAAACCAAAAGGCTTGCTTAGGCCCCAGCTCTTGGATAAATGAATAGGGCTCTTTCGTAGAAAGACTGGGGGTATAACTCAGCCTACTGTCTGGGCAGTGCCCTGGGGGTGGTGGCTAGCCACCAGAGAGAGGTAGGAGATCAATGAGTGTCCGTAGGGTGGCGGCCCCAAAGACCAGGACACCAGACACATGTGCAATCTCCTCTCCAGGAGCTACTGGTGCTCTGGTGGGTGGAATAAAGTGTGAAGTTAGCACCAGCCCTCCAAGGTCTCTGGAGAGAATTATGGTCGGCCCTTAGATGGATGTTTAATTAGAAGCCTGCCCCTCCAGCCACAGCTATGAAGATAAGCTAAAAGATTTATTTCAAAGAAAGATGGGTCTCTAATCTCTTGCTATGCCCTGGGGGTGGTGGATGGTTGAGAATACTTTCTCAGTTGGTCAGTCTTAAGGGACCCTGGAGCGGAAGTCGCACTGGCTACCAGATCCAGGAGATCTCAAGGGATCCCCTTGGTGGCTACAAGACGGGGGTACCAAAGGAGGGTACAAGCTCCTTTCTGGGAAATGCCAGTAAGCTGGAGTGAGGTAAAGGAGAAGTGAAAGATGGCATCTGCCAGCCTCTGTCCCTAGAGACTAGCCCAGCAGGCTCCTAAGCTGTGTGTTCATTTAGATGCCTGCCTCTCAGGCCAGTGATTTAAGATAAGCAAATAAAATTCTTTCACAAAGAGGTATTATTCAGCTTTAAAGAGGAATGAAATTCTGATACATGCTACAATATTGGTTCAACCTTGAAGACATTATGTTAAATGAAATTAGCCAGATAAAAGGACAAAACACTGTAGGACTCCACTAGAGTAAGGAGTCAAGCTCACAGATACAGAAAGTTAGAAGGGGGATTCCCAGGGACTGGGGGGGGCAGATTATATAATAAGTACAGAATTGCAATATGGGATGATGCAGAAGTTCTGGAAATGGATAGTGGTGATGGTTGCACAACTATGAATATATTTAACGCCACTGAATGGTACGCTTAAAATGGCTAAAATGCTAATTTTGTTAGGTACATTTTATCACAGTTTGAAAAAATTAGTAGTGGACCTCACATCATGTAAATCTGTTATTTTTGAAAACCACATCATCAAGCTTTTTTAAAAACGGTATCTCCTGTATTAGATGCAAATGCCTGTTTTGTTTGCATACGCATCCACCCAACTGATTGGATTGGGGCCGGGGGTGTTTGTGGTCCGGGATGAACTAAAAACTTGGACCTGACCCAAGGTTATTCTCTCTTGGTGCTCCAGGAAAAGGTCTATGTTCATGTTGTAAAACACAATGAATGCATTTTCATTTCAAATGGGAAACAAGTCTATGGTTCAAAGTCAATTAAGGACGGCAGGGGCGCCTGGGTGGCTCAGTCGTTAAGCGGCTGCCTTCGGCTCAGGTCATGATCCCAGGGTCCTGGGATGGAGCCCCGCATCGGGCTCCCTGCTCCGCGGGAAGCCTGCTTCTCCCTCTCCCACTCCCCCTGCTTGTGTTCCCTCTCTCGCTGTGTCTCTCTCTGTCAAATAAATAAATAAAATCTTAAAGAAAAAAAGGACTACAGTGGCAGATCATTAAAAATGATACTAAATGTTTTTAAAATGTAGCCTATGTGGCTAGGGCACAATGTTTAAAAGGAATGTGTCTGACACTTCGAACAAAAATAACCAAGTTTCACTAGGAAGGCCCTACCCCAAAAGCAAACCCCAAAAGCTGATTTAGTATCCCATGATCCTGGCTCCCTGAACCTGAATCCCTTGGAAATGAATAGCATTGCCTCCAACATGGCAACAGAGCTTCAGAATTCAGCTCCTTTAAAGCCTCTCCCTTGAGGACAGGCTGGAGGGTTTGTCTCTGAAAGACAAAGAGAGGTAATACTAAGTCTCTGTGGGGAAGGCTTCCCTTGGAAGCTGTGGTTGGGTTACAGGCTGTCTTCTGAGTGAGTGAAGACTAGTCACAAGAATCAAGCACAAAAAAAAAAAAAAGGATCAAGTAGTTAAATAAGTAAAGCTATAGGTGGGAAAATGAAAAACCAACCTTTTAAGCTCTGATAATCCCATCAGACTGAATACCTGGGAATATATCCTCTCTTATAGCAATGATGCCCCCCCCCCAAGGCCCCACCTCCTGGATTTATCCACATCCTTGTGTGGTATCTTCCCACTATATCCACCAATTGTCTGTGTGACCACTACAATATGGCATAAAGGGATTGTCACTTCAGGTATTAGTCTTAAAAGACTATAGCTTTTCTCTTGAATACTCTATCACTTATTCAGGGGGAAGCCAGATTCTTTGTCATGAAGACACTCGGGCAGCCTGTGCAAAGGCCCAATGCGGGGAGGAATTGGGGTACCTCGTTCCCAGTCACAAGATGCGGAAGAGGATCCTCCAGCCCCAGCTGACCTCTCGACTGCAACATCATGAGAGACCCTGAATGATAACCACTCAGCTAAGCTGCTTCCTGATTTGCAGAAACTGTGTGAAGTAATATTTGTTTTTAAGTCACTAATTTGGGGTAATTTGTTACTCGCCAATAGATAATATCACCAGGGATACCATGATTTCTGCTTGCTTAAGAGGCAAGCTGACATTACCTGTCCTGAATCTAGATGAGCCAGCCTGAAGTGGCATTTTGGCAACGGGCTTTGTCACAGAGCCTTAGAGCAGTTTTGGTACATCTGTTTCTCCACAATTCCATACCCTAACCCAAGCGGGGTGAAGGAAAGTGCCTCCAAGGGACAGTCCGATGGTGGGTGATACAGTGCTGGTCAGGAGAAAGAGGCTTGGGCCCAGGCTCCATCCCAGTACCTCCAAACTCCAAAAGTTCATAGTTTTCCTAGGCCTTTGTTACTTTATCTAGAACATAGCTACAATACTCCTTTCATTGTTTGGTTAAAATGGGTAAAGTAGATACAAAAAGGCTTTGGAAAAGTTTTAACCTGACATACAACTTCTAAACTGTAACAGCATGGTCATCAGCACCACTTCGCACTCTGCTGGAATGGAAGGGTGTGGATTTTTGATCACAGTTCTTCATAAGCAAGCATGAGGTCCCTTGGGGGAGAAGGTAAGACTCTACCGTAGGGAGCAAACACAACTGCTGCGTCCAGGTAGGCAGCAGAAAGGTCAGGCTGGAGGAGGTGGCAGGGAGTAACAGTGGCCAGTGGTGTGCACATGGCAACCTGGAGGTCATGCCCTCCTGGAAAGAAATTTTAGAATGTTGTGGAAGGCCCAGCAAACCCATTCTGCCAACTGAATTTGATCCAGGCCCAAGTTGAACCAAGCACCATAAGCAATAAAAGGCTAAAGGTATATATCTGTATCAAACTAAATATATGATATAGAGCTAAATTCAGAGGGTTAAACCTCATCATTGCAGACGCTAGAAGGTTCTGTGAATAGGTCTCTCTCCCGCACCCATGAATCTATCCGATCCAGACACATTTATGGAATACCCACTATAAAAAGCTACATACAGAGCCGCATACCAATTCTGTCATACCAAGTTCTGTACTTTAAGTCCTTCTATTTTGTACTTCTCCAAGTTGGGGGAATTTGTAACAGTACTGTATTTGCAGGTAATGCAGATCCTCTATTTTAAGAAATGAGTTCTAGTCCCAAATCCACAAATAAAGAATTATTATAATAATAGCATATTCATGAAAAGCAAATTACTTATCTTGGCGTTTAACATCCTTGTAACTATTCCTGTACTTTTAATGTCAACAGAAAAAAAGCAATGTCTAAGTCTGGCTGATATGGTAAATTAATGTTAATAACAGTTTTGACACTAATAGCAAGTTTTAAAAAGAAAAACCTCCAGACTCGAAACTGGGTTTCATTTCTTAAAAATCACCGCAGCTAGCTGTCACCAGACTCCTCTAGAACAATTCCAGCTACTATTTCACCTTCACTGGGAGCCTGAAACAACTAAAATCTATAAATCATAGACATTCTCTTCCTTCCCTGCCTATGCTCACTCCAAGTGGAGAAAATATCCACCCCCTTGAGTTACAATACCAGAGACACATTTCTCTGCAGAGACACATTTCTGAATCCCTATAAGGAAGTGAATACCCACATGGTTTCATTAAAAAAAAAAAAAACCCACTAGCTGTTTGTCCAGCCCCTGAACATAGGTTGTGAAAATGTGAACTATTAAAGTACACACTAACGGGAAATTCTACACTTTGTTATAGATGCCATGGAAGCCCAGAGACCAAGTTCTGCACCTTCTCTTCACGTTCTTCCTAGCACTGTGCAAATACAAGCACATGAATAAATGGCCCGTGAATTAAACTGATTTGAGCCGAAAACTTGAACAGGCCCACATGGAGAGTGAAAAGGAACCCAGCACTTGGCTCCTCCACTATTGCTAGCTCTTTCTAAAAGTCATTGAAAGCTCAAGCAGCCCCTTGCAAACCCTCTACCCCTCTCAGACTCAGCCAGTAGGACCTGATTGGCCTACAACACCCACCTCTATAATCATTTAGAGGCCACTAGACTTGAAGCAAAGCATCTCTTCCAACTTCTCAAACATTGTTCTTTTTCTATTACTAATTGAGTGTTTTACTTTTAGATAATCCTATAATGAACCAGCTCAAATGAGCAGAGGCAGCAGTGACAACCCATCAATAAAATAATTAAGCCGAAGTGGATTTTGTTAGAGACTTCTCATGTCATAATAGAAAATCTAGGCTACTTAAAATCAAGGAAATCAAATGGAATCGCTTCGTTTGGTTTTAAAAAGGAAGGCTAGCTTTAAAAGATCTCTTTGATAGAACCCTCATTAATGCTTTGACAATACTGCTTCTTTACTCTCGAAGTACATGCACAATAGAAATACCAATGGAGTATGAGGTGGTTTCCAGAAATTTCTTTTCTCTTTTCATAGCTTCCACTCAGAATTGTCTATAGAATTTAGAAGAGACCCTCTACACTTTCTCTGTTTTAAGATTTAGATCATGGTCTCAGTTCCCTAAGACTTGCATACTTTATCCCAACACCTATATACCATGGAAAAACGGGAAAATCGGGGCATGACAGCCACAGATGCAGGGCAAAATCCTACCTCTTCTTTCTCTCTCTCTTACATGCAATGGAAGAGGAAGGTTCCTGACCAAAAAGCTGGCCAAGGCAGCTGGGTTTCTGTTGCCCTCTTCTCCCCTGGTGGATCCAAGAGCCCATTAGCTTTATCTCACAACACAAATGCCATGACACCACTGACCCACTTGACTCTCACCCGAAAAGCTTTGCCTCATTTCCAACTGAAAGACTACGATGAGCTAAAGAACCAACCTCCGCAGTAACAGACATTCAACATTTACCAAATGGCTTCAAGGTCTGGACAAGAAATAGAAACAGCAGAACTGGCTCTGGGTGCTATCGGGTGCCTTACTGAGGGATAAAGCCGAAACTAAATAAATGACGTGGACTTGAAGCTACTCAGGCTGATGCCCATGTTGGACTGAGATAAGGGACACCCTTGAGTGGAGCCATGAAAATGAAGAGAAAGCAAAAACGTCCATCACTGCAGGGCCAAGTGAAATAATTACATACCCATGCGCCATCAGGCCCAAACAGCTCTAGGAAGTTGCCAATGAACTCCCTCGACTTCTCTTCCCACTTCTGAATTAGATCATGACTCTTTTCTTCCACTCTGTTGACAAATTCCTTTGATCTCTCCTCGACATTCTTGACCTTTTCCTTCATCTTGTCTACCTGGTTTTGGAAGCGGTACTTCTTTTCCTGGTCAAAAATGAAAAGAGAAAAAAGAGATTTATCCCAGAGGGCATGAGAGAGACCAGTCATTCACACTAATGGTCACTTTATTTCAACTTGTGTTTGTTCTTAACCTGGAGAGTCAGGATGTTGCTATTTCCAAGGGCTAGACTGACGGGAGGCACATCTCTTGTAAGAGAAGTCGTTTGTCATGAGTCTACTTGGATATGTAAAATGAAATACAAGTGATTTTAATATTCTTTTTTGTAAACATCAGAGTTGAAGTCACTTATATAAGAACCAAAAATACATATTTACTGTTTATTACAGGTAGCTATTGGACAAACACCCCCCCCCAATTCTCCTGGGATTTAGACAAAAGTATGGATTGTCCATAGAATGGTCGCTCAGAAGCCACCCAAGTTCTCGGTTTTACTGGGACACTGTTAAAGCCAGTACTGGTTGAAATCGGCCACTGGCTGGGCCTTAAAAGCCATGTGTGACACTGTAATTTTCATTGCAATGATATTTTCCATTAAGCTAACTGAACTGCATCCATTTCCTTGGTGATGAAGACAGCTTTTGTCCTGATAGCTTCTCTGGACTGAGATTTTTGTCCTTCTTATAGCCCTTATGCAGCAGTGCTATTCCCGTGTGCGTGGAAGGCCTTGTATGTTGGGCAAGTCACGGGCCATCTCTAAACTTCAGTTTCTTCCTCTGTAAAATGGGGATAATTATCATCCCTACCCCATCAGGTTGCTGTAACAATTAGGTCAGATTACGCACGTGAAGTGCTTGGCACAAAGCCTGGCATTTTAAAAGTAAAAGCGCAGTGTGTGTTGGCTGTTTGATTCTGATGAAGCAGCGTAAGCCTTTCCTCGTGTTACCCGATGAGAGTGCTATCAAACCACGAAAAGTACGTGACATGGAGGGTCTTCCCCTCCATGAAGTCATGATGTATTTTCTCCTCACAGGGCAATAAGGTTTTTTTCTTCAGTATACGGGACTGAAGTTCCTATCTCAGAATTTTCTTGAGACACCTGAAATATTGCAAAACTGGGGCAGGATTCCCAGATTCAGACCTTCCAAACGGGACTGCAGCCTCAGGGTGGGGTGTGAGCTCCGGGTAACATGCCGCTGTCAGGGCCAGCCCGGGCCAGAGTGACCGGCCGCCACCTCCACTCTGCCTGAGGGGCCTCGGCCAGGCCCCCTCTGAGCACAGTGTCACCTGTGTCTAAGCGGCGGGACTTGGACTGGGTGACTGGCCACTGGCAAGTTCCTGCCTCCTGTGAGGCCCTGTGCTTCATCGATGTGCCCGTCCGGCACATTCGACCCTGTCTGTGAGTGGCAGCCAGCCTGTTGGCATGGAAAGGCAGCGAGCATGTCCGTGTTGACTACACGGTTTCTTGAGCTAAGCGGCTTAGCTAAAGGCCGTTAGGAGAGAATGAGCGATAACTTTTGGAAATGGTTTAACATGCTTGGATGGCTGACTGGATTCAATTTAAAAGAACAGACAGTTTAAATTATTGAAATAACCAGGGCTTTATTCTCTATAAGATACCAAATAATCACTTTGATGGAATTCTTTTCAGCCACTTGTTCTGGTGCCACTTGAACCCCAACATTTTCTGTTCTGTTGCCCGACTTGTGTGAAGCCACGGAATAACCACTGGTGGACAATTAATAAACCCCTCATCATCTAGAAGGCACCGAGGATCGATGTGGTTAAGCTGCTGGATAGTTATGGCTGCACATAAGCATCTAGTTTTGTAGAAAAATCACTCTTTGAAAACCTACTGGAGGGGACTGAAATTCTGTATGGATGAAGGGTTCCTGTTTTAATCAACTTTGTCACCTCCTCGGAGTCCAGGCAAATACAGTTGTCCAGATGCGCTAACATCACCTCTGGCTGGTGGACTGGAGGTGAACTGCCCTCTTAGCTTTGTAACAGCCTGTTTTGCTTGTTTTAAAGATTGTTTTAACAGTTGCTCTATTATTAAACTAACAGCAGGTCTGTGGGAACAATACGGCACGAATGCAAAAGGAAGCCAAAGACTTTAGGCTTTATTTAAGCAGCTGTAATCTCTCGGGACAATAAAAAGAAATGGCTCTTAAGGTTTCTAATGAGCATCTGTAAGGCCTTAATAAAACGAAAAAATTTAAAACTCATTTTCTCTGGGTTTAGCTTTTCATTGCCTCTGCCTGCCTTCCTTCCCTTTGAGCAGAAGACGATGCTTGCCTTTCAGGACGGCAGATCTCCCAAACACCCTTCAGTTAAGTCTGAGAACTCTCCAAGACGGAGGTTGGAGCAAGAGGAGGGAGGCAGCTCCTTTATAAAACGTGGAGCTCACTACCATAGGCTTTGGTCGACTTATGTTAGCCCTTTGGACACTGGTTTCTCCATCTGTAAAATGGGGCTAATACATCACTGGGTCATTTTGTGGACTGCGTGGCGCTGGAATTTAAATTAAAACAAAAGAACACTGTGAGGCATACAGCAAGCACTCCACAAACGGTGGCAGTGCTGGCGTGTGTGGTGGTCGTCGGAGGACACGGGGTGGGGGGGGGTACACTTACATTTATAAAGCTGACATTTAGCTCCTTGGCGGTGTACCCTCTCTGGAGGTTGCGTCGGGCATAAACATCATAGTCACGGACGATTCTGGTGATGATGTCTGATGTTGAGATGCCTTCCGTTCTCTGAGTTGGAACAAACATTCCTGTTCAAAGAGTAAAGAGGAGATAAAGAGAAAAAAAAGTGAGATGGTCTCAGCTGCCCCATTTTCTGCAAGAGCTCTCGTTTCCAGGACAGAGTGGCAGCTCCCGGGCGTGCGAGTGCGGCTTCTGCATGTGACGCCAGCTGGCCGGGCCGGGCTCAGCTCCGTGCACTTCCTGCCTGCCCGCCACCCTGGCCCTGGGCCCTGGGCGCTCCTGGCATTCGTTCGGGCCACGGCCTTCTTTCCTGCCTCGGATCCCCCTTCCCTGCCTAGACCAGCTGCAGCCTTCCCCCTCCTCCTGCAGGGCCCAGCTTCAAGGTGTTGTTCCTGGCAAGTCCTTCCTGACATCACCAAGCAGAAGCCACAGCCTCGAGGACACAAACGCGTCTTCCATTAGCAAACGCATTTTAAATACCTGTCTCCTTGTCAAAAGGGAACATTTTCAAAGTAGAGATCATGCCTCAACGGCCAGCCCCCAGCTCCGTGCCTTTTTCTGGCACATGGAAGGGGCTCGATAAATGCAAATTAAATGAGTCAGTGACTAGAGAGTCACCAGCGTGGCAGGCAAGTCCTCTGCTTCCCTAAGGAAATCTGCATCACATTCGGTTGAGGAAAAGACGCAAAAGGTACTATCTCGTCATCTCCCGTTTGAAGACATGCCTTTGGGATGCTAGATGATTTTATCTCCCTCACAAAAGTCTACTCTGGGATGGTGGTTTCATCACTCAGGACCCTTTCATCTAGAACACGTGCGACTGAGTAAAAATAAGCACAGAGGATGCCAAGTTCTAATAGACCTTCCTTAGCGTCCTCAAAGCTGCATTTGGGCGCACTGATACGGGGCCACAAGAGGTCACCCGTGTTATCAAGGCAAGGGTGTGGTTAATGCTTACACCTGTCGTCAACCGAAACGACATGTTGGCAAGTGAGGTCTTTCTACCCAGTATGATTATGGCCATTCAGAGATATCAGGGGTGGGATGGCATGACAGACAGGGCCTAGGGACAAGGGTGCTGGGTTCTCAGTTTGGAGACTTGGGCAAGACTCACACCTCAGAAGTCAAGTTACTTAACCTCAGTGTCCAAAACTGAGAAATGAGGTGACCGGACAAGATGACCTTGGGCTCATCTGTGCCACTTCCTTCTCCGTCACTCCCCATGTCCAATCAATCTCCTTCCACTCACCAGTCTACTTCCTAAAAGGCTCCCCGATTCACCTGCTTTTCTCCATCCTCCACCTAAAGCCATCGAACACCATCTAGTTCAAGGATTATATCAAGAGCCTCAAAACCAGTCTCCGGCCATGTTGATTTTTATTCCCTCAACCCTGGTCTACACATAGCAGGAGCCACAGAGCAGTCTTTCAAAACAGAAATCAGAGGGCTGCCCAACATCTTTCACTGGCTTTCTACGGTCCTCAGGATTCAGATCCAAATCCATACCTGGGCTCTGCAGTGGCTTGCTTTACCCCTTCCCTGCACGCTCTCCAGTCTCATCGCAGACCTGCTCCCCAACCTCACTGCCTAAGCCAAGGCCCCTGGGCTCCACCACTGTAAGGGGCCCCATTCTCATTGGATTCTCTGGAGCTGGGCAACAAACTGAGCCTGCCTGAGCCCCACCACACTGGTCTTCAGCGTCCTGAGAGGGCAGGCCCCGTCCCCTCCCTGTGCCACAAACACACTCTCTACCTGGCTAACTCTTGGTCATTCATTGGGTTTCACCTTTAGCGTCACTTCCTCAAAGAAATCTCTCAATCCCTGGGCCAGCTCTTCTGGCTTCTTATTCCCTCCCATGGTCCACTGCTCTTTTCCTTCACCTATTCCAAGGTCTTTATAAAACAGCTTCTTCAGTACCTGCCCTCCCCACTTGACAATAAGCTGCATGAGGGAAGGAACTGCTCCTGCATTATTCTCCTTTAAATTCTCAGCCCCGGGTGGCAAGCGGGCACTGTAAGAGGACTACTGACTCTAAGTGCCTTTCCCAATCCAGTTGTAATTCGTTAGCCCTCGGTGGACTTGTTGTCAACTGAAACGACATGTTGGCAAGTGAGGTCTTTCTACCCAGTATGATTATGGCCATTCAGAGATATCAGGGGTGGGATGGCATGACAGACAGGGCCTAGGGACAAGGGTGCTGGGTTCTCAGTTTGGAGACTTGGGCAAGACTCACACCTCAGAAGTCAAGTTACTTAACCTCAGTGTCCAAAACTGAGAAATGAGGTGACCGGTATAGGAACAGGTCCCCTCTGGGGTGGCGCCCTGAGCGGGCCCCCGGCGTCTGCTGCACATGTAGGTTGCAGCAGCAGGTTGCCACTGCCCGTGTGTGAGACAGAGCATCCGCTTTCGAATGTTCTGTGGCTCGGAGCACAGAGCTGGCGTTTACCACTAGGTCCGAAACTACTCCTATCACCTTCTGAGAATATGGACTCGAACACAGAAGACCAAAGCGAAGGCAGAGGGTGTGAACATCCCAACACCTGTACCTAGACCGCACCCAACCGAGCCAGCTGGGCAGGGGGCTCTGGGGGTTGGGGGAACGCTGAGTGGTCCCAAGCCGGAGGGCTGAGACAACATCCTCACCTGGGTGGGGGCAGCAGGGAGCTTTCTAGTGAGCACTGTGTCCCCTCGTTCAGTAGGCAGGTACTTTTCCCACACCCCTACTGCCTGGTGAAACGTCCAGAAGATCCTCCAGCTACCAGCAGATTTCAGCAAGTCACTTAGGCACTGGTGACATGAGCTCACCCTTTCTGTGAAGCCGCAGAGTGAGGTCTCCGTGGCTGAGTGACTGGAAGTTGCAGACGGGGACAAACTTGCTTTGCTGGTGGGGAGGTAGGTCTCTGAAAGAAGCCGAGCCCTCTGCTGACATAATGAGGCACCCGGCTTCCTCCAAGTCCTAATTAGTGCTCTGCTAAAAATATTCAGTAATGAGCGCACTCAGAGAACCTTTTTGTCATGCTTTTCCGAATTGCAGTGTTTGCTTCTGGAGCTATTTTAAGCCACAGCCAAGCACATGTTAATGAAGGAGCCTCGGCGGTAGTAGGGCCGTACTGGCAGGAAGATGAGGACCGGGGCCCAACCGTCTGCTTCATTTGTGCACCGTCCTTTCGCCCAGCTTTGCTGGACGGTTTTGACATGTACTCTGACAAGCAAAGCAGAGCACGCTGTGAAGTTTGATTCATGCCCTCGATATCTCTGGCTTCGTTTAAAGTGACTTTTGACTTTTAAAAGAGACCTGAATTAGAGGGCAAAAGCCCAGTGCGTGTGCTTAGGCCATTTCTGAGCATCTTTCTCTCAGGATGAATGCCCTGGCCTTCTCTGCCGTGGCTCTCCCTTGCTGAGCCATCAGCAGAGCAGATCAAGGGACCTGCGTGGATGAAGAGTCACACGTGGTCTTCCACCTGTGCTGCCGGGGCAAAGAGAACACCACCAGACTGTTCAATCTGAAGATCGAGTCAGGGCCGATTGAATGTGGGCACAATCCCCGTCCCCTGGGATGACTTGCTCATAACTAAGAGAATGTGGTATTAGCGACACTGCGGCACTTCCAAGGCTAGGGCGCAAAAAGCCTTGAGGCTTCTGTCAAGATTGCTAACTCTCCAATGCCTCCTCCTAGGACGCACACTCCTGTAATGCAGCTGCCACGCTTTCAGAAGCCCATGCAACAAGGAGAGGCCACAGGTAGGCGCTGCAGTGTCGTCTTCCCCCCACCCCCACGCTGAGCTCCCACTGCAAGCCAGATGCCAGGGCACCATCTGGGACCCCCAGCCCAACTGGGGCTTCAGATGATGGCAGCCCCAGTCAACAGCTGAGTACAGCCATTTGAGAGACCCCTAGCAAGAACCGCCCAGCCAAGCCTTTGCTGAAATCCTGCCCTACAAAAACATGAGCAAAATAAAGTGGCTCTTTTAAGCCACTAAATGTGGGAGTAATTTGTTATGCAACAATAGGGTGCTGGATCACTTTGAGTTAGGAAAATATTGGACCTGTTCCTATACCTTAAAATCGGGAAAGCAACTTTTTCTTAGCTCACTAGAGGCTACTCGCCCAGAAATAAAACCACCACCAAATGCATGCTTTTACTTGACAAGGTAGCTGAGAAACTGTCCCCCCAGGGAACGCTGATTCCATTCACCCTGGGTGAACCAGATACCTGGTCTAGATTCTTGCTACTCTAAGTGAGCTCTGTGGACTTGCAGGACCTACCAACCCAGGAGCTAGAAATGGGATCTTAGGGGCGCCTGCGTGGCTCAGTCGGTTAAGTGTCTGCCTTCGTCTCAGGTCATGGTCCCAGGGTCCTGGGATCAAGTCCCATATCGGGCTCCTTGCTCAGCAGGGAGCCTGCTTCTCCCTCTCCCTCTGCCTCTGCCTGCTGTTCCCCCTGCTTGTGTTCCCTCTCTCACTCTCTCTCTGTCAAATAAATAAATATTAAAAAAAAAAGAAATGGGGATCTTAGGTCCCACCAGACCTAATGAACCCAAATCTGCATTTAAAAAGATCCTGCAGGCAAGGAAAACAAAAGCAAAAATAAACTATTGGAACTACATCAAAATAAAAAGCTTCTGACGGTGAAGGAAACAACCAACAAAACAAAAAGACAGACAACCTACTGAATGGGAGCAGATATATGCAAATGACATATCCCATAAGGGGTTAATATCCAAAATACATAAAGCACTTATACAACACCAAAAAACAAACACCAACACCAAAAAAACAATCCAATTAAAAATGGGCAGAAGACATGAAGACGACATACAGATGACCGAAAGACACATGAAAAGATGTTCAACATCACTTGTCATCAGGGAAATGCCAATCACAACTACACTGAGATATCAGCTCACCCTGTCAGAATGGATACAATCGAAGACAGAATAAACAGCAGGTGTCGAGGCGAGGATGTGGAGAAAAAGGAACCCTCGTATACTCTTGGTAGGAAAGCAAACTGGTACAGCCACTGTGGAAAAGACTATGGAGGTTCCTCAAAAAGTTAAAAATAGAATTA